CTGAATGCTTCTTACAAAATGTTACCTCACTTGTCCTTTCCCAATATATTCTCTCCCAAAGCCTTCCTGTGTCTCTGGGATTCCTTGCAAGCAGCCAGCCTACAATCTACTCTGGGAATGGCCTGCCATCTCTCAGGGGAATTAATATGCTAATCTACTCTTGAAGAATGAGTGGATTACATTAGGAGTTGGGTAAGAGGGAAAGTGTCCAGAATTGGCACTCTTGGTTGGCACAGTAGGGGAAATGACTTAAGGGGCAGTAGAGGGGAATATACTATTTTGTTTTCCTGCAAATTACGAACAGCTTTCTACGGGACTGAGTTCTAAGTAGGTGTGGTAGAAATGCAACTAAAATGCTGGGCATCACTTCAGGAGAGTTGTGGACATTGCAAAAAAAAAAAGGATACTTTCTCAAGGACTGCCCCTTACACATGCAAAACAAGAACAATTGGATACAAACTGGGGCCCTGCTGATTGGACCCTGATCTGCCTACACAATTTTGATGTCTACTGCTCTAGGATGAGGTTCCTAAACTTTCATCAAGTAGAACTATGGGTAGCTGCCTTAACCCGTACATAAATTTCCTGCTTCAGGTCTTCCTCTGGAAAAGCAACTTTTATTACTTGTCTCCTGCAAACAGTATGTATAAGTTGATCCAAGGTTGGTTGCAGGGATTAATGAACCAATACATGGAAACAACTGTACTGATTGTCACCTATACAGTTTGTTCCCTCCCAGATAATTCTCAAATCTACTTCAAATGACAAATTTTACAAGATGGCAAATTCCTTAAGGCTAGGACTATATCTAAAATAGTGGCTCTAACCAAGGGCAATTTTGCCCTTTAAAAGGGACATATGGCAACGTCTGGAGACATTTTTGATAGTCTCAGCGGTTGGCTGTCTTTGTTGTAGAACAGTACTGTTTAAATGTTCACAGCTTCCACAGCAGAAAGCTGCCCAATCATAAATGTCAGTTGGCAACCCAGGGTTAGTCTCTATGGTGGCTTAGGTAGCATTTAAGAGATGCACAGAATTAGAAACATTGACAATTGTTAGACACTCTCAGACTCTCTACTACTAAAAAATATTTATAAATTGCTAATGGAGAGTTAGAATTAAATTAGAAATGTATAGGAGTAGGAAAACTGGAAGACAGTAGAGTTTCTGAATCTGATGAATTGGGGAAGAGCACACTCACATTTGTATTTAGAGGTGACCAATTTAAAAGCTAAACTCCTCTGAATCAGCAGGGTTTTATAATAGAATGCAACAGGATTTACTTATGTATCCAAGGAGCTCCCCTGGTAGTTAGAGAATGAAGCTGAATACAATTACAAGCTCACTGATGAGCAGGATGCAGGTCCTTAGCTGCATTCCGAGACAGTGCACTTAATAATTGAGAATCTAGCAGCGACGCGTTAATGAGGGGTTTAAAGATGCACTGGCCCTGAATCTCAGAATTTGTCAATACTCATTACCTAGATTTTCATTTCAAAGTAATGAAGTGATAAGGAGGAATCAAAAGGAAAGTTTGTGATTGAGAAAAAATTGCTTTACAAATAATTCAACAAGTACTTAAAGCCTGAAATATAGATAAAGCATTGATAAATCAGTGCGGGCAGCACCCAAGGGACTTTTACAACATCACAGATCACTAACGAGCTAGGGCCAGACCCAAGGACAATGTGAGCATGAGATGGACCATTCAGAGAATAAAGCCTTCCCATGGCTCTTGGCAAATAAAAGATAGAAAGGGTTAATGCAACCCCATTTAAATGCTCCAATCACCGGGTGACCTTTTTTTATTGTTAGGATTTAAAATTGTGAAGGAAAGAATTTATTAGCAGTCCATCAAGGAGGGAAGTCTGGTTAGGTACTCAAGCAAGAACAGCAGAAATCATGAAGGAATGCTGCTTACTGGCTTGCTTCCAGGCTCATGCTGAGCTATCTTCCTTATTCATCCAAGCCCCATCCATAGCAGGCCCTCCCACGCCTACTAGCCCCCACAAGACGTGCACACATGGCATTCTGATGGAGTCAGTCCTGCTACTGAGGTTCCTTCTTCTCAAGTGAGTCAAGTTAACAACAAAATGTAAACACTACAATAACAACACAATAATAATGGGTTTGGATAACTGAGGAGTCATCCCTAAAAACATTTATTTACAAGAACACGAAACAGGCATCAGGGTGTATTTGTGTGTGTGTGTGTGTGTGTGTGTGTGTGTGTGTGTGTGTGTGTGTGTGTGTGTAATTAAAGAATAAAAATCCAAGTATTTGAGAAGGAGAGGGCACGGGAAGGCATAAAGGGAGGGAGGGGGGAGTACTATAATTTAATCAAAATCGGTTTTTTTTATGGGCCTTCTTATGGTATTTCATATATTTAATGCATTATAATTTGTTTAAGTTTTTCTGTTTGTTAACATATATTTTACATTTTAATTAAAGCAGGCTGCCTGCTTGTGATTTGTTTTTAAGGAAAAAAAAAAAGAATGAATAACTTCATTGCTGAGGACTTTGTTAGGGACACAAGATAAGCTAGTTTGTAGGTAGTAAATATTCAGGTTTCTGCATCTCCCTCTTTTTCCAAATATTTGCAAATGAATGATCACACAAAGCCAGTTAGAGTACCTGGAGGTGATTCATCTCTAAACGTTTATTTTTTGAAACCTTATACCGTGTGTGTGTGTGTGTGTGTGTGTGTGTGTGTGTGTGTGTGTGTGTGTTCCTTTTCTCCTGAAAAGTTGCATAACCATGCTAACTATGGAATTATTTTTTGGGTAAGTTGTTTTATGTGCTGCTTTTAGGAATCAGCTCTCTCACCTTTTCTCATGAGACTCTCTTCTCCCACTGGGTCTTGGGGTCATCTTGTGTGTTTGTGAAAATGTGTAGGGCTCAAGACCTTGAGTGGCCAATCCTGTACATGTCTTCCAAGCAAATCCAATAAAGTTTCTTCTAACCCAGGAATGGAATATGTTTGTTGGGTTTCCCTATGAGGCCTTTGCCTGTCACAGGATGTTCCCCTTGATGCCTCTACATTTTGGGGTGGGAGGGAACAGGTGCTTCCTCCCTTTAACATCTTTATCATCTGGTACTCATAAAATTCCTAAGCCAAAGGCTTGGTAAGGTCACTGGACATAGAACAGGAAAACTCAAAATGGTGAATTTGAGGGGCAATGTCAGGAGACAACAGCCAAATGATAATTAATCAAAATATTTCAAAGACAATAAAAACCAAGGGAAAAAATGCTTCCAAGTTTCAAAAGCAAACAAAATACTGACAAAAATGTCTTCAGAGATCTTAAAGAGACCAATCAAACCAAACCAAAATGCCCAGACCAAAATACTTTCAAAGCAAAGAAACAAACTAGATAACCTTAAACAAAATACTTTGAAAGCCTATGAAAAGGGGATCTCTCAACGTAGTATCCTTCTTAGCAAGTCCAGAACAAATAAAATGAGCCAGTGACCAAACCAAGAGAGTCTGGAACCCCAGAAAGAACTCACCCACAACTCACTGAGGAAATAACACCAGATGACCTGGATTCAGTTGATCTATGCAGATACTCCTTTCCATTCAGGTGCTTCCTCCAATGAAATCATTATCTGGGTCCCATGCTGTGGTGCCATAACTGTCAACAGGAAAACTACAGTCCTCATCTTAAAAGGAAGAAGAGATAGTTTACTCTGAAGCTATTCTGAGTAACTATGACCTAGGAACACATATTTAGGCTACCCCAAATTCCTGTTGCTGTGTGAAAGCAATTTCAAAAGGGCTTTATGGTTTCATAGAACAAGAGAGTCATAACTTAAGGCAAGTTTAAAATCCATTGGTGGGTATATCAGGGAGGCAGGTCCACTGAGGCAGGGGAAACTTCTAGATAATATTTACATGAACTTGTATAAACATAGATAAGCCATGAAAGTAAAAGGGCATAGTGAGGAGAGACGGAAGAAGTTTACAATGAAATGGAAAGGGAATAAGGGAGCAAAATAAAATATCTCATGTTTCCTCTTATTTATATGTATATATGTCAGAAGGGAGAAAGGGAAAGAGTAAGAGGAATGGTAGAGGGTATTAGGAGTATGCAAAAGAACAGGGTACAAGGATTAATATATATGAAAATAAAACCTCATATGAAAATCATTTTTTTGTGTAACAATACAACATAGAATTCAAGACACTTGGATTGATTTTGCTAAAATACGCTTACCAGTAAATTATATGGTATCCTCCTATCAGAGCTAAGAATTTAACTACATATTACTGATATGAAAGTGTACAAAGCCATTCAATCTTGAGGCTTAGATGCCAAACGACTGGTGTTCTTTGTAGCCTCCCATTTCAAAGAGCAAGGACTCTGGTGACCACGGGGACCTTTCTGTGGAACTTTTCAGAAAAGTTGGTATGGTGCGTGCAAGCCCAAGCTCAGAGTGTTCTGGCAATCACTCTTACTCACAGCTTTCTATCTCATTTACATCCCTGTAACATCATCCTAATGATGGTCAGGATGGGTTCCTGCTACGTGTTTCAGTAAGAGTTTCTCTTGTTTACGAGGCATCCAGGCAACCCACAATGGAAACTCCTTGGAGTCTTTTTCCTCATGGTATTTTTCTGTAGTTGAGAAGAATTCAGTTTTAGAAACCTGGGTCCTGACTTCAAGAAAAGTCTGCTATAAAATGTAAGTGTTGAGCCCATTCACAAATGGCCATAGTTCTTTTCCTGTCTTTGCACCTGAAATAATTGTTTCATGTTTACCTAGCAATTAGCAAATTGCACATGTAAATGCCAGAGAAAGGTACAGCAATGTATTTATCTACTAGGCAGATGGATACAGCTGGAGTCAAACATCCACAATAGAGTCAAGATGCAGCGACAAACCATGCAGGATGCCCAAGTGGGAACCTAACTGCCTGTCTTTGAAATGCTGCTGCCCCAGAGAGGTTGGATTCTGTGGCCTTTGTGTGATGTCTAAAGCTTGTCTGTTTTGTTTCAGCTGGCGGGCTTCATCTACGCCTGTTACGTTGTGAAATGCATAACTGAAGAAGAAGACAGCTGTAAGTATTAAAGCTCCACTCTGTGCCTTTCAAGTTCAAAGCTTCCTTAGTATTTCCTCCCCAGCTTCCCCTGCTATGAGACAATACCCCTCCACACCCCAGCAGAACAGGAAGTAAGGCTTTGGTGCCCACCATGCTAAGCTAGTCTTCACAAAAGAATCAGCATATTAAAGAAACAGAGAGGCTCTCATTTTGAAAACATGCTTTTCCCTTTTCATTGAAAGGTATTTCAAAAATCTGTTCTTAGAACAATTATAGTAGAGAATACAGACGGGAGATTAGAGACACAAGAGAATTCTAAATGCAGTTAACTTGGATATTTCCCTTTGCTACAGTTCAGTTATTGTGTATTGCTAATCAATCTGTTTCATCAAAGACTTTGAATCTCATTAATAATTTGTAACAGTGCTTAAAACTCTGCCAATAATTGAATGTCTAATGGAAATCAATTGCTATGGTAATGATATGTATGCCATGATCTAAGATGGCATGACATAAAACGCTATGACATGATCTGATAATGGCATTGTAATGGCATGGCACATTAAGATATGATGTGATATGGGATGATCTGATAAGATAGATATATGATACAACATAATCTGATATGTCATGATATGGCATGGCATGTTAAGAAATGACATGATATGATTGATATAAGACAATGATACGATATGATATGACCCAAGCTAAAACATTTTGAGTAGTGGAACAGGGCATTGTTGGACACTGTGATAAAGGGAAAGGAGGGTCTGGGGGATTCCTAGATGTCTGTTAAGAGTGAATGAGTACATAGAAATGCCTCTTAAAGGAAATAGAGTGGGACATGATAGTTAGCTGAGTGTGGATAGGCTGCTTGAGGTGTAAGAGAAGACATCCAGTAAGCACTCACCATGCACAGAAGCTTTGTTCAGGGAATTCTGTCCTAAGTAAAAGTTTCACCAATATCATGTAAATTCAAGAAGACCAGACATCTCAAACAGCTTTTAGCACATGAAGCTTATGCCCCAGCATCTAATAAAACATTACCCCCAAAACTTCTAACAGTAATGTCTTTTATCTATTTTGTTATCTTCCCCATTTCTGCTTTGATTGATGGAGAGCATAAGAAGCTGTTTCCTGAACAAGTTTCTCATGTGGTTCTGAAAACTTAAGGAAATCCTTGTCTGTCTTCTCTAGGCCATTGGCACTGAGCTTAGATACTGATAGGCCCAGTGGACAGCCTACAGGTGTCCATCAGGTCTCCTTGTATACAGGGACAATTGGTGACTTCTCTAAGCTTATTTGTGGTCATTTCCATCAGCCATCAGGAGGGTTCACAGAACAAAATGTCAACTGGTATTTCACATCATCTTAGCTTCTTGCCATGTTCCTAACTAAAGACACTACCTAGAAACCCAACTTCTAATAATCTTACGTAAAGAAAAGCTGAAATTGCTGCCCAACTTTGGGAAATTGCAAAGGAAATTACTTTGACCCTTAATTTTTATGAAAAACAAAAGCAAGCCTTGAAGAATTTGAAAGAGGTGATGTCTGTGCGACACTGGAGCTGGTGTCTTGTCTGTTTGGAGCTACCTGCTGGCCAAACTAGTGAAGTCTCCATCCCTAAGAGAACAGTCTAGGTTCTGTACCTTGATGAGAACACACTGTAGAGATGAGGCCAGGCTTCTGACTTCTGGGTGACTAAAGTAGGCTAGAGGCTGACCTGAAGTTGAGCATTTCTGTGCTTACAGACATGAGTATACCCAGCCAAAGTAAGAGGGAAGAGGAACCACGAACCAGGAGCAAGAACACAAGTCAGATTCCATGACATAGTAAGAAGCAGAGGATGCTAGACTGCTCAACACAGGGGTGAGGAGAGGAAGGAAGAAAAGGAGGGAGGGAGAGAGAGAGAGCGCTAACATTCCAAGCTTGTGTCACACTTATTAAATAGCCTAGGAAGACTTTAAGCCTCTGATCTTCCTGACTCCTCCTCCCAAGTGCTGAGATTGCAAGTGTGCCACCATGCCAGGTTTATGCAATGCTGTGAGTTGAGCTGAGGTCTCGTGTGTGCTAGGCGAGCACTGTACCTACTGAGCTACATAGTTAGCCTTACAACAGATGCATTAGTGCAACATTTCTTTCTAGTGGAAAACCCCTGAATGTGGACATCTCTGTATTCGACCCCATATTCTAAACCAGAGCCACAGCCTGGCAAACGGGCTGACTGCATAAAGTCACAGCACACCACTGCCACCTGCTGCGCACACTAGGATATGACATCAGGTAGCATGATGAGGATGCTCTTCTGCTTTCTAAGAATCGGTGGGGCTGCCATGATAACTCGCCACATCATCCAGAACTTAAACAACAGAAATTCATTTTCTCCCAGCTCTGGAGGCTGAACCCCCAAGATCAAGGTGTTATCCTTCACTTTATCCTGAGACTCTCCTTGCCATTCAAATATCTTTACATGGCCTTTTTTCTATGCCTTCCTTCTTACTTAAAAATTTCAGTCCAGTTAGACTGAAGCCTTGTCCTGGTGACCATATTTAACTTTAATTAGCTGTTTAAAGACCCTGCTCAAAAGCTTCACACTGAATTTTAAGCCTTCTAGTCATGACTTGAAGGGCAGGGACACAAATAAGGATATAACACACACACACACACACACACACACAATAGTACACACACATGCACATGCACATGAACACACAATGTATCTCTTGGACATATGACTATATTTGTTGGGGAAGAATAGACCTAACCTCAGATGAGACCTTTGGATGCTAATACTGTCCAGCATGGCTACACGTTCACTACCATCAGGCAGGAAACCCAGCCAGCACCTCCATCTGGGCTACCATCTACTTTTAGATGACAAGTTCTACACCAGGAAAAACTAAAACCTTGAACTCCAGCTCAACAGTTCTACCTTAAGCCAGGCACCCATTTGAGCATAGTGACACTCACAACACACTTGAGTGTGTTTTCTCTGCTTTAAGAGAACAGGCTTCCTCCAGAAGAGCGGGCATCCCTACTGTGCTCTTTGTGGTCAAGCTCTCCTGTCTCTGGACATGCTGAGTTTTCTTTATAGGCCCAAGTCTCTTCCAACCCCTTGTGTTTGCCTTTGTTTACAAACTTCGGTAAAAGAAATGAACGTATCAGAGATCCCTGATCTTCATGGCTTTTATCTTATACGTGGCTCTTTTGCGTAGTTAGACCTCCCCTCTACTGCAGTGCTGTGATCTGTACCACTTTGGTGACAGAGATAATAATTTATCTATCTCTGTGTGTCACCTGCTATTAAAAGATCTTTATAGAATGTATCACTAATCCATGAGGAGGGGGGAAGGCTTCAACATATGGCTTTTCAATTTCCATTGCTGTTTTGTTTTTTAAATTATTTTCATTAAAACAAAGAACAACTAAATGTTGGTCTCTTGAAAATACATCCATTTTTAAGTACCTTTTTCTTTTTCTGAGCACATTTCTCCCATCTGCAAATTGTTCTTTTATTTGTGAATTCAACCAATGGCAGATAGAAAATAGCTGGGCAGTGCAGGAAGAGTGCCTTTGTACCAAATATGTCTAGACTTTTTGTCCTCATCAAAAGTTTCCAAATAATATAATACAGCAACTTTTACCACACAGAGAATTTGCACAGCATTGGTTATTACAAATTATCTACAGATGACTCTATGTGCACTGCATGGTCTGTGTGTGTGTGTGTGTGTGTGTGTGTGTGTGTGTGTTTTATATGAACTCTATGTCAGTTTTCCTAGGGTACCTAAGCATCATCAAAAGTTCCCCCCCAAAAAAAATAGCAACTTTTATTGCTCAGAGCATTTCTACAGAATTAGGTATTAGAATGATCTAGAGATGACTCCATCTACACTGCATGGTGTGTGTGGGTTATACATAAAGTCTGTCAGTTTTTCTAGGGCACCTGAGCATTTATGAGTTTTTGTATCCACAAGAAGGTCCTGGAATCCCCATGGTTACTGAGGGACGACTGCAGCTACCACCTCATCTAATAGAGATGCAATGTATTTCCAAATGTTATTCAATATTGAGATCACCTGGGAAAAAGATGTGGAATGTCATTTAAAGATAATAACCTCAGGGACTTATTCTTAAAGCAATATTGGAAAATGAATTCCAGCTATTTAAATTTGGAGTTAGACATGTACACATGCCCACCAACTAAACGCAAATGAATAAAAACCTGTCCTGATTCTCTGAAGTCAAGTAGCCTAGGGACAGAAGTCACAATCGATTTATAGGATCTTCCCTCTAAAGACAAAACCACAGAAAATTATTCACTGCTTCCAGGATAATAATTTTCTATTATTTTTGTTTGATTTTTCTTCTAAAGCCTGCTAGCATACGTCATTTATCAAACTACATTCTTTATGTGTTGAGCCTATTTCCAGCTATCCAGGACCATCAGGTTCGAAGGTAACTGCCTGAGCACAGTCACTTACTATGCAGAGGATTACATGGAGATATATTCTGCCCTAAGAACATGATGCTTAATCTTGCTCATAAATGAATAGAGGTTTACTACAGAGAGCATAAAAAATACAGATAAACAAAACAATAAGCGGAGAGAATATCAAAATGGCCAGAGCTAAGTTCTGGTCTTCAGTTAACCTTTTGGCATATCATATACTTCCTGGTTTCATTCTATTCTTTCTTCTTATCAATTGTCCTCCCTTTTTCTTTTGTCCTTCCCATGCTTCTTTGCTTCTTTCCTTACTGTCCGTCATCTGCCATATTTCAAATGTGGTTGTTTCAGATCATACTACACATTGCGTTTGATAAGCTGAGGTTTCTTGTTGCTTTACATCGCTCCTCAAACATAACCTCTGAAGAGGCAACAAGCATTTCATAAAAAATGCACGGTGTATTGTGTGCCTGATTGACAGGTGGAGATGTGGAGGTGGAGGGAGGATATTCTGTCTTATTTAGAGAGTCATACTCAAACAACCCAGTGAAAGATACATAGTTCATGTATT